GCCTCGGCCTCCCAAAGTGCTGGGATTACAGGCTTGAGCCACCGCGCCCGGCCTTAAAATACTATTTTCATAATGTTTGATAAATATAATAGTTTTACAAATTGGCCCGTTAGTGGGCCTTAAAGGAAACAGACCAAGCTTAAAGTAAATATAGCAATGATCCTATGAGTCCAATTCCATTTTATTTCTCTCTCATCCTTTTTTAGGAAGGCTCTATAAGTTTATAAGGTAATAGTGTATTAGCTATATGTGGAATAATGTATTTGTTAAATACCGATGAGAACAGTAGATTAACTGTATAGAAAGAAAAGAGACCTCCTCAAATAATGTAAGTGAGTGAAATTTGTCAGGCTGATGAAGAAAATGCGTGGGCCTGAAAACATTCTTAAATATCTTTTCGAGTCTGATTTACCAAATACCATATGACCATCCTAAGTTCAGTAGTATCATAAAATAAATTTCAGCAAATGATGAACAATTAACTGTCTGGTGATGAAAGTTTGTTAGATTTATGACTCAACATTTTATTCTCCTGAAATTCAACTTAATTGAAAAATTATCTCCTTTGTGATTCTATTTCAACTTTATAGTATACATTTTAAATAATATTGCTTTAAAAAACAATAGTATTTGTTTTCTTCAAATACTATTTGGGGATAAGATGAATGTAACTACAGTTAAATAACATTCTGTTTCTCTATCATGTTTCTTAACCACATGTAGAAAAACTTAAATTTTCACACTGTCATTGCATAGCTCCCTCAATTTTTTTCTTTATGAAATCAAATAAAAATGATTCCCAGAAATTTCCACTAAAAGCAAAGCTTTTAACATTTAAAAATGGCACTTAAGGGTCATCTTAAATATCTTTTCTCCAGCAACGTTCACCTGACACTCAAGTAATCGCCGTTGAGTAATTGTATATGCTAGATTATATTGTATATACTATATATAGTAGCTAATATAGACTAAAGATTTTAGTGATCATATGCATGCTTCTAAATTCATAGAGTTGAAGACGTCTCATTAGGTCTGTAACTTTTAATTAAATTATGAATATAATTATGGATACATAATGTTTTATTCCACTCATTCAAGGCATGTGTTTTCCGATTTTGAAAATTAAGAATATTTTTAAAGGTTAGGTTTATAATGTAACAAAAATATATTTAAAAATTTTAATAGATGAACCAACCAAATATTTATTTCTGTTATATTTAAGTGTTCCTTAAGCCCCCAACTCTGTCTTTTAGGTTTTAATAAATTTCAAATATTTATATACCCTATAAGATAAATTGTAATTTAGCAAAGCTAAATTTTGTATAAGAACTGGTTTATTTTTAATGTACCTTTCATAAGTGTCTTTAAAAATTTGGTTACCTAATATTTAGAAAAGTCAAAGTTTGCATTTTCCAAAATTGTGTTCACTCTTACAATTAAGGTTTATTTTTAAAAGATTTCCTTGGCTGTAGTATGGACCTGATGAGCATACATGGCATTGATAGCTAGATTTAGCAATCTGATCTATCATGGGAATACTGGAGAGCTATTGAAGTTTTACAGGCAAATGATACATCAAGATAGTATTTAATATGGAGAATGGGTTGATAGAAGAGTGTTTTGGGCTATTGTACAAAATACCGTAGACTGGATGACTTAAAGAACAGACACGTAAAGCTTAGTTTTTATGGTAATTTCTTACACAGGAACATATATATTCACTTACTCATGTTAGCAGTTTTTCTCTTTTTATAAATCAGTATAATTTACAAAATTGAAATGACATAATTTGTATATTCACTGTAGAGGAAAAAGCTATATTCAAGTGCATTGCAAGTCTACTAAGAAAAGTAAATTAAATAAGAAAACTAAGTCTCCAAAGGTGGCTTAAATATTTTAGGTAAACATGAGTATTGTGGACATTATTAGATTCTTCAAGGTAAAATAATTGGCAAAGTGTGCCTTTGTAAATGGTGCAAACAGCACGTATTTATAACTGTCCTGTTCCCCCACATTTTTAATATTCACATTCTCCACTTCCCCTTCATCCTCTCTCTCCTACCTAAAAAGAGAAACAAAATAAGATTAGGACAGAGGAGAGAGTAGAGAATTTCAAAGGGAAGAAACAGTCTTTCTCTCTAGTGTAGAAATTTCCATGACTGTCTCATGACCACATATTTTTTCAGTTCATAAAATTGCCAAAATCAGAGCCTGGCATAGTGGCTCATGCCTGTAATCCCAGCTGCTCAGCAGGCTGAGGTGGGAGGATTGCTTGAGCCTAGGAGTTCTAGACTGCAGAGAGCTATGATCATGCCTGGGTGACAAAGCAAGAACCTGTCTCTAAAAAAACAAAAATAAATTTTAAAACATTTCCAAATCATTAGTACTTTCGATTATTTATGACAGCAAGTCTCTGGAGCTAACTTTATGGTTAAAGAAAACAACAACAACAAAACACAAGAAAGCTCCAAAAATACTGAAAATTATAATGTTGCAAAAAGGATAGTTATATTTAAAGGAAAGTCACTGCTCAGTTTGAATTATAATGGGTATAGCTGCCAGCCAGATAGGATGTCAGTGTGAAATCATTATCTATTTAAAAATCAGTACTCTTGATATATAACTTTTCACCTGGATGTGCTTGAAGTACTCTATTATCCTTTGGTCATTTTTCCATTTAAGCAGTAGGATGAGAGACTAGACTAGCCTACCAGCAAGGAGCCGTTCAAAGTATAATTTTACTGAAAATTTGTAGTATTGCTTCTATTGGTAAGGAAACATCTGGAATCTATTAAAGCTGTTTGTTACTTTGTATGTTAAACCTACATATGTGTTTACTCAGTGCTTAATATTTAAGCTGGAGAATGATATTTAACAATTTAATTTTCAACAAGTTTACATACAGTAGGATCTTTTCCTAGTAATGTATTTCCAACAATGCCTCTAGTTGTTCATTTGAAAGAAGGACTCAGGCCGGGAGCAGTGGTTTATGCCTGTAATCCCAGCACTTTGGGAGGC